TCATTATAAAAAATTAACTATGTCGACAGTGTTCAAGCATCATCGCACACAGGTTTGTTTTATAAGACAGCTTATTAGATAAAAGTGATAGATTACCACGCCTACATTAAAATGATGTCCAATCAAATGCCTTCAGAAACCTATCAATAAAAATATTACTGCAAACATGGAAACGTTAGAGACCTGGTTGTGTATTCGATATTTGAAAAAAAAATGTTAGATAGTTTCTATTTGTTCAACATTAAATTGCGAAGACCGTGTCGTGTAACAACCCTCTCCCTTTTCCCGTTTTCGCCTTCTAATTTTTACACTTTCTTTTTAAATGGAGAAATATAAAATATGACCGTACTGCAGGTTTCTGAATTTTACAAGAATTTTATATAGCAACGTGCGATTCCCGGGAACATCATATTTCCAAGATTTGACAGACCTCTGAAAAAAATTAGATCAAACAATTTTCATCTACGGTGTGCACAAAAAAAAACACCAAATTATATTTACAAATTGAAATAAGATTAAGAAAAGTTTTATATCCGTATTCTTTATCCATTTGCAAAAGATGAAGAATGCTCCTTAAAACTGTAATTTATTAAAAGACAAACAAAAGATAAACTACAAGTTTGTACTACCATCCAGGGAAATGAGTTTTCCTTAAAGTAACTAATCCTTAATTCACAACCGTCCATATACATGCAAATATGCAAAACTCTGGATTAATTTTTTAATATTTTACCTGAGAGATCATAAAATGCATATCTAACAAGAACTTCGATGGCAAAAATGAAACAATGAATAATTTTTTTTTTTTTTTTTTTTTGTAGACGAGTAGCAAATTGAAAAAGGAAATGTTGTTGAAATAGAATTAAAATATAATGCACATCTTTCTAAGTAAAGCAAAAACACGCATATAGAGTTACGTAGATGCAAAAGAATAATAATATTAATAGTCAATTACGACTATTTTATAGGTTAAAGAATAATCAGTCGAACACGACACCGATTCATGATTTCCAATGTACATAATTTAAAACAGGTTTATTTATCTTTTTCTATGGATTGCATTTTAAAGTGCATATGCTGGTTTATGATCGTTGAATGTTCAGCGAACAATAGTACATGATATGCAGGATGATATCAATGGAAAGCAAAAACAAAGAAGTATTTTTTGAAATCAGAGAATTCCTTAAATTCAACATTTAAAACAGTTTTGTTTAAGCAACAGCATGCATATTTTGATTTCTGTTTGGCTGTGCGGGATGTATTAAGTACGCAGTCACGTCCGGTCAAAATGGGAACGTTACATCCGATGCCTCGTGTAGAGAGAGTGTTATGCTCTCTGAACGATAAGAACCCTTGTAACAATTCTTTGAGGGGTCCGTAGGTGGCCTGCTGCAAGGCTACATTACTGTCCCTATCCAATATACCCTCATTATCCTGTGGCAGTCCAAATTTTTAGGAGGTCCCTTTTAAACGACAAGCGGACGAACGTCACAGGACAAAAAGTCACAAATTTGATAGAACAAAAAGTCACAGGACACAAAGTCGCAAATTAATTGTTGACAGATGTTTGAATATATTAGATAAAGATCTTGAAATAATTACTTTTTATCACACTTATATTTTTTACAGTTGTTCAATAGCCTTGATAAGTGAAGATTCATTAAACTTTAATCATGCAAATGATATATTTCTTAGTTTAAACAGTATTTATTAATAAAAAATTACAACAATACAGTAGTACAATGTTACATGAAATTCAAATATGGGATTCGGAAACAAGTTTGGAAAAACTATTATAAATCCGTCTCCCCAAAAAAAAAATAAAAAAATCTATTGAACAAACAATATGACGTGCCATATATTTCTGAGGACCATGACGCCGTTTGGGTACCAAGCTACTTTGACATTTTGTTTTCTAAACAATTATTTGATCATTATTGATTATCTTTAATTAATTTTGTTTTCAAAGTTGGTTTATATATACAATAGTTCAAGAAAAATACAAAAATGTTTTTGTTTTAAATAAGTGTTTTCGTATTCATAGAAAATAATCTCAAAAACTGAATTGTGACTTTTTGTCCTATGCCATTTTGTCCGTGATTTTTTGTCTTTGACTTTTTGTCCTGTGAACTTGTTTTCTACATTCGTTCTAACTTTACTCATAACTAATGCGTACATGTGAAAAAGAAGTAAATATCAATCTCGAATGAGTATGTTGGGTTATTGAACAAAATGTAGGACAGAAAGTCCATGGACAAAAAGTTACAGACAAAAAGTCACGGACAAAAAGTCACAGGACAACAAGGCACAATTCATTTTTTGAGATTATTTTCCAGAAGCACGCTTTATTCATGAGTGAAGTTGGAACATAGGTCAATTTGGCTCGGATTCACAACAATTGTCCTCTGGTAAACATGACCTTTTGTCGACACACGCTGGCCGTATCGGGCTAGAACAAATCAATGCGTATCAATGTCACCTGTGTCTTTTCCTCGACATAAATGTTTAAAAATATGAATAATGGTCACAATTGTAGCGTAATGAACTGCATTTGAACCTAATCTAACTTAATTTCTGTAGAATCAGTTGAACATCTAAGTGGTCATCGATGTTTTATACTTGACACTGGATATTCATTTTACGATCGATACCATACAATCAATGCATTTCTATCAGTCATTCACTTTAGTCAAAGACTTTTGAATGTAACAATATCATGAATATGGTACAAATACATTTAATTTACTTAATTTACATATTTTTTTTATCGAAGTGAAAATGTTATAAACTGCTACCAGTAATTAGTACACGTCTGTTCGTTACGTACGTTATTTCATAGCTTTTTGGTCAATTACTAAAAATCAAGTAAGCGTCTCGTACTGTTTTTAAAATGAAAAGTTAACAATAGTGCTATAAAAAACAAATCTGCTACAAAACAGAAATATAAACCGTACACTAGATTTATAAGTATGTACATTTTCTGTTTATCAATCGGTTCTTAACTTGTGCCATTTTATATTTTTCTATAATATAATTTATTCTTTTATTAGTTTTTGTTAAAAAGACTTGAAGGTAAAAAATGTCAGAGAAGTTTCAAAATCAAATTTTAAAGGTACCTAATGGTAATGATAAGCTGTAAACTAAATTCTTAAAATATAAGATGGAGATGATATGGTTGAATCTGTAGGTTAAGGCGTGATAAGCTGATTCATCGAACTGGGTCTACCGACCTCCCGTCTAGAGTAAAGTAAGGCCCAAAGCAGGAAAAGATGAAGTAAACTACAAAACACAAAAGAAACCCGTCAGAACCCCGGCCCACCGACACGAGTTGCAACTCACGGTAAATGGGTCGGAAAGCCATTATTTATTCGATACATCGGGCAACTCATTTGATGTTCGGATCGCTTTAGTCTGGCCTCTACCATTCGAACTGTCAAGCATGGAAGGCCCTACCAAGAGAAAAAGCTCCAGCTGGCATAGCTCTTGAAGTCACTCAGACACGCAAGCCCCCCGACCACGACAAGGGTAGCGATCGACTTGGGGGTCTTTCGGTTAATGAAAAGGGTGACACAAAGAGGATGTATATGTACATGTTTTTTTTTCTTATTGCTTCAAGCCATATGCTATTGTGTAAACAATGCAATATATACAAAGTTTGGTTTCCTACTTATCATACACCTTGGTCCAGTTAACATTTTTCAATAATTTCGAAATGCTTCCTACTGTGTTATTGAAAATGTACTTTTGTTTAATAAAGAGAAGATAAATGTGCTTATCAAATTAAAAGAAAACATTGTAATGTGATTTTGATTTCTTTAGCGGTGTTGTACAGTTCGTGAAGTTCAGAGTGTCAATTGTGAAATTCATTTCTTCTAGCCCTTTAAGTTTCCGTTTTGCTACTACAGCTTGATAGGCAGATTATCCGTTAACTATGCAACTTCGAATATCGTTAACATATTATGAGAATTCTTTAATCACTAAGAAATATTTTGTGACATATTTAGATATATTTCATTTTCAATATGATTCATGAACTCCTTTGAGAATATAGCATGTATTATACAATTGTTTTTCTATTTTTCTTAATATAATAGATACCAATGATAAATAATAAATTGATACCAAGATCTGGTTGATACATTTTCCGTATTATCTTCACAAATAATACATGATGGTCTTGATGAATAGATTCTAGGAATTGATGTTGTTTATCATCTTAATTACGTGTTATAGTGTTCTTTTACTTGTAAATTATTAACGTTTACTGTTTGGTTCATTTTTGGTATTGTCCTTTAGGCGTGTCTCGGTACTTGTACATCCCGCTATTGTGTTTTTGTGCTGTGGTCCTTTTTTGTATTACTGTGTTTCATTTTTGCGTATATGCTTGGTCTATGTGTCATATTTTTTTCTTTGTTGACATATTTGTTTGTTTTTATAGTGATTGAGATTAATGTTGACTGCTGTACCCATATTTTTGACATTTTTACCTATTATGTCGGTCTGTTTTGTTCACACATTGTTGTCAATATAATCGAATTTTATGCAACTATCATACAAGTAAGAGGTTAAGTTAGCTTTAGACCCGGGTTTAATCCACAACTTTTACATGATGGAAATGCCTGTACCAGGTCAGGAATATGACAGTTGTTTACCAATCGTTTGATGTGTTCGAGCTTTTGATTTTGCCAATTGTTAAGGGACTTTTTAGAATAATGCGACTTGCCAATATAGTGAAATATAAAAGATATGGATATGTTGAACCTGCGTAGTCATTGTAAAAACAAATCTAGTATAGAGGTTTGTCATCGAGCCAACGAAGCATTACACGATTTCCTAAGTTAAATATATAAGCTAGGTAATAAGAAGCATAATACATTGTAGCAAAAGTATTAGCGGGTGACAGCACATCATCATAAATGCATTCAGCTATTGTATAAATATATTGCTAAAGTACTTGAAATTTAAAAAAAAAACACATGCATTAATGGTTAATCACCTACCATTTTGTTGCTAGGCTGTTGGTGAGCACAAAGCAATTTTTGTTTTATTTGTATTATTTCATCATTCAAATTTAACAAGTATTTAATCAAATAACCAAGCTGTGTTCATGTTAATTTGTAAGATAAAGCACAATGTATATATGACACAACAACCAACACAGTCTTTGTTTTATTTTCGGAAGTTCATATTTAAAGTTTATCGATACTTTTAATATTTCGTTATTTGAAGAGGGAGCCAAACATGTTCCAATATTGCCTCTTACTCTCGAAATTTAAAGTAACTTTACAGCACCCACACTTTTCAGTTGTTGGTTTCTATCGGTACCTTAGATAAAATACATCGAATACAACTTTGAGTGCATGAGTAAACAACAAAACATTTAACTGAGTAATTCCATAATAATGAAACTATTGTGTAACGGGTGGACAGACGGAAGTGCAATCCAAAATACACATGTATTACAATATCACATTCATAAAACAAAAACGCAATGCATTGTTATTTACGTTTGAATTTGAAATATGGCTGTTTTAATAAAATATGCTGAATTTCAGGGAAAAGATACTAAATTGTTGTTGGCGTTGCTTAAAAATGCAAATATATTTTCTCTTTTTATATCAAAAAAAATGCAACGTCAATTGCAATCAGTCATTACAAATGCCTTTAGATAAGTAATTTTGTATAAAATGTGAATAATTTAAGGATAAATATGCATGAACTTTTGTTTTTGTTCAATAAGGATGCAAACATTTCTTCATTTTAATGGAACTTATTGCGCGCCATTGGATTTTTTTACTTTCTTATATCATAAAGTGTTGTTTTTTCACAAAATTAAATGAATATTAGAGGAAAGATACTTAAATATTGTTCGCATTGTTTAAAATTACCAATATTTCTTCTTTTTATAAAAAAAATTCAGCAATGTTATTTGTAATTAGTTATTCTAAAGGCCTCAAGATAAGTTTTTTTTCATAAGAATTTTAATATAATTAGGATAAAAATACTTAAACTTGTTTGCGTTGAAAAAGAATGCAATAATTTTTATATTTAATTAAATATTATGAACCTCCATTTGATTTAAGTACATTTGTACATCAGGATTGGTTGTTTTTCATAAAATATGCTGAATTTCAGGGAAAAGATACTAAATTTTTGTTGACGTTGCTTAAAAATGCAAATATTTTTTCTTTTATATCAGAAATAATGCAACGTCAATTGCAATCAGTCATTACAAATGCCTTTAGATTAGTAATTTTGTATAAAATGTGAATAATTTAAAGATAAATATGCATGAACTTTTGTTTTTGTTCAATAAGAATGCAATCATTTCTTCATTTTAATGTAATTTATTGCGCGCCATTGGATTTTTTACTTTTTGTAGTTCAGGACTGGTTGTTTTTCATACAATTAAAAGAATATCAGGACAAATATACTAAAATGTTGTTCGCATTGTTTAAAATTACTAGTTTTTCTTCTTTTGATAAAAATAATGCAATGTTATTTGTAACTAGTTATTCAAAAGGCCTCAAGATAAGATTTTTTTTATAAGAATTTTCAAATATAAGATTAATACTTAAATTTTTGTTTGCGATGGATACGAATGCAATAAGTTCTTTATTTTGATAAAAATTATGAACCGTCATTTGATTTCAGTACTTTTTGTACATCAGGATTGGTTGTTTTTAATAAAACATGCTGAATTTCAGGGAAAAGATACTAAATTGTTGTTGGCGTTGTTTTAAAATGCAAATATTTTTTTCTTTTATATCAGAAATAATGCAACGTCAATTGCAATCAGTCAGTAAAAATGTCTTAAGGTAAGTAATTTTGTATAAAATGTGAATAATTTAAGGATAAACCTGCATAAACTTTTGTTTTTCTTCAATAAGAATGCAATCATTTCTTCAATTTAATGGAACTTATTGCGCGCTATTGGATTTTTTACTTTTTTTACAGCATAATGGGTTGTTTTTTACAAACTTAAATGAATATCAGAGGAAATATACTAAAATGTTGTTCGAATTGTTTAAAATTACCAATATTTCTTCTTTTTATACAAAGTTCAGCAATGTTATTTGTAATAAGTTATTTTAAATGCCTCCAGATATTATTCTTTATAAGAATTTTGATATAATTAGGATAAAAATACTTTGAAATATTGAAAATAATACACAGAAATTTGCAATAAATGATCATTTCATTTCATTTGTCAGAGCATTTTCCGAAAATAAAGAATTAACAATCGCGATTAACACCGTTTTAGCACTCTTCGGGTTTAAAAAAAATATATAACCTAAATAAAATTAAAAAACACCATTTTTTTTATAATAATATTTAAATTTAGTTTTATCCGCGTATTCTGTTCTTATTAAATTCTCAAAACTTTGCTGAAAATTTAATAAAAAAATGATGAGCTTGTGTACTTGAACATTTCGTATTTTTTCTATGGCACCATTTTGATTAAATAAAACGAAACTAAGATTCCGTAATTTGTATGAGTTCATCATGCGACGTAGTAGAGTTCAATCTGCCAGAAAGGTCAATCCGTCCGATCCGTCTGATCCGTCCGATCAGTCAAATATTTTTACTATAAGTCTGACGGATTGGTGACGCGAGTTTGACGCGAACTTGACTGATCGGTGACTGATCGATGACCGCTGATTGATTGCTAAAATAGTAACGCCTATGGTTGCAAGTACTGTAATTGAACATTTGACGAAATTAAAGATAGACAATAAATATTTGCACCAACAAATATTTTAACATGTTTAAAGCAAACACAAAGATAAAAGAATTTACCTTATCTAAGAATTCAATTTAGCAGTCGATGCTGTTGTGAAGTTGCCACAGATAATTTTCACCTGTAGAAGATAATTGTATTATATATGCAATTGGTTTAACATTATGGTTAAATAAATCAACAAACATATGCAGGTAAACGGATTATGTAAAACTTGTGTTTTAATTCGTGGGATAACAATCGTAACATATGTAAATAAAACTTCAGTGTGCTTGTAAACTTTAATATAACATTTTGAGGATTTCTTGGTTGCTTCCGAGGCCTTTTACAGCGCACAATACGGTATGGGGTTTTATCCTTGCTGAAGGCCGTACGTTGACCATCAGTATCCTTTGGTCTTTGGTGAATAGTTGTTTCATTGGCTATCATACCAGATCTCCTTATGTTGATACTATAAATGCACATTCGATATAGCATCAAAGAAAAACTATAAAAGTGTTGGTAAACATTCTGTCTTTGAGGCTTACAAACATTTTAGTAATTGGACAAACAAGCCATGCCTGACGTATACAATTCGAAAAATAAGAAGTGTTTTCAAGGTAAAACGACGGAACATCCTTTACTTAATTGAAATTACGAATCAAGGTTTATATTTCTATAGAAATGATGACAGAGTATTATTATTAGATACATAACAACCAGCAAACATAAGGATTACTCATACATGATTGTGTTTTCTTTTTTGTTAGAAACAGCATATAATGAAATGTTTAATGTATAGGTATAGTCAGTCGGGGTGATTTAAATTTGTTTTTTACAATTTGGCAAATTTGGATCAATTTTTCTGCAATTTGAAAGAAAAATAATAAATGATTTTATTTATTAATGAATGATTATCACCGTCATATTCTTAATCATTCAAACATGATTTCAAACATTTTTACATATTACGGAAAATTGAAAGTGCACATGTCTTGAATGTTGTGCACAATAATAGAGCTACATAATACACAACTTTGAGTGCGTGAGTAACATAACAAAAAATGATGGAGTAGCTCCATAATTATGAAACCATTGTGAAACGGGTGAACAGACGGAAGAGCAAACCAAAAGACACATGCATTACATTCATAAAGAGAAACGTAATGTACGGTAATTTACGTTTGAATTTGAAATAATGTAGTTATCCGCAAATTAAACATTCGAGGAACAATTAAGACAAAAATAGATATTTGCAAAAAATAAATGTTGTAACATGTTTAAAGCGCAAAGACAATGATAAAACCAATTACCTTATCTATAGACTCAATTTAGCAGTCGACACTGTTGTGAGGTTGCCACGTATAATTTTCACCTGTAATAGATCAATGTATTTAATATTCAATTTGTTCAACAAACGAACTAGTGAATTCAGGTAAACATATTATGCAATACTGTTTGGGATAACAATCGTATAATATGCAATTAATATGCAAATAACAATCTCAGGGCTTGTAAAATTTAATATAACATGCGTTGGTTTTCGAGGCCTTTTATACTTATTTTAATAATTTCAAAAGTCTGGCAACTGCTTTAATCATAATCTTCTTTAGTTTTATAAATATAGGGTAGATGTGATCACCAAATGGACAATACCAATTGATTGTATCTGGTTTACTTTAATGGCGTTGGTAACAGTTTATAAATTTCAGAGTGCCAATTGTAAAAGTCAGTATTTCATGCATTTTTGAAGTTCTGTGAGTTTCCGTTTTCATATCACAGCTAGGTAGGCAGATTATCAGTGAAAAGTGTGACATCATCTAAATCTCCCCCCTCCACCAAAATAAAAACAACTTTTTTTTTATAAAACATTTTTAAAGTTATGGTTTTACATAATCTTTACGTTCTTCCTTAGTCCGTTTTTCATTTTCCATGATTGGAAAGACTTTAAACACATGTCCAGATCAAGAAAGTGCCATTCAATCGTTGCAATAAGATTGCAGTCACTTTCTCCCCTCATCTTCATATGCTACCTATCAAGAATATGTGCAAATACATATAATGTTTTTTTCGATAACAATAACTAAATAAAATACAAAACATGAATGTGAAAGTACCAACTGAATTTACTATTAATTTCTTCTAACCCTGAATATTTATCAAAGCGCTTTTGTAATAGATATAAGAAGATGTGGCATGAGTGCAATAGTCAGTTTTAGCTATACTGTTTGAGCATTCAATTGCAATTGGATTACAATAATATGTTTTTCATAGAAGCTAGAATATATTTATGATATTCAAATTCAACAAAGACGTCAAGGTAGCTGCATTAATAAAAATGAATTAATTAATCAAAAATGCTGTCTGTAACACATACAACGTTATGTTAAAGCCAACGATTTTAATTTTCGTACCTTTATCGTAAGTACTTTTAGATTAAGGGAGATAACCAAATATATCATACGACAAAACATAACTTTCCGATTTTATTATTCACCTAAGTCCATTGCATTATGCTATATTGAACACGTTGTGTTCCTCCGGTGGATTCGAACGGGATATATTCGTTATTTTGTACATACCATTAAGTATCGGACGTATAATGCATGTGTTATGGGCGCTACTATATATTTCAAATTGGATTATATCCCTTTAAGCAGACAAATTTCAGCAAAAAAAAAATACTAAAATGTAAACTATGTTCCATCATATAATCTATATATATTAAAAGTATCGGAAAAATAGGTGAGGTTTAAATCATGTCGTTGGTATGAACGCCTCAAATAAGATAAGATATGTTCCAATTTCTTGTTTAGTTCATTTGTATCTCAGTATCAATAAGATTAGTGATCTATAACATTTCCTAAGTATGACGTTGTTAAATTACCCCTTTAAATTTTTGCTGACGACCTTGATCCTCCAAAGCTGTATATAGCATGAAAATAAATCATTTACATAAGGGCTTCACGTTCTTTTTTATACACTATTTATTTCTATACAGTTTAATAGTATTGAAAATTACTATCAAAACACTATTGTCGATTTGATGTTACACTGTCAATATATCCTCTAATACGTTTTATTCGAATGTCTGAATGGAAGGCGAATGATTTTTTGTCTTTTCCGCAAGTTACATTATACTAATTTATTCTCAGATAATGAATGTTTCGTATGTATCAAGGAGTCTATATATTATTAATGCATGTAATATATATCAAATTTTACAAATTTGATTTTAAAACCAATAGAAACCTGTATTTGACACATACTATTACTAGATATTTGTACATGTAAGTGCAAAATGAAAGTACACACATATATATATATATATATCCTAAATTAAGGTAAATTGTATGGCTTTCCAAATACCATTTCGATTCTTAACATCACTGAAGATACATTAATTGTCGAAATTTGGATATGTTGAAAAAAAACCTTTGCACCTTTTGTTTGCGGTATACCATCTTTTCCGCAAGTTAATTGTTTTCTGTTTAGTATTAAATTTATAATTAAGATCCATGTATTACATCGGTGTTCTGTTTATTTGGCAATCGCCAAATGGCAGTCAGCAGGGTTAAAGAACATGTGTTGTTCGACCTGTTAGTCAAATGCGTTTTGCTAAAATATACTTTTTCACTTTTTGGGTCTTTTGGAAAATGTTGTTTGTGCTGTATTTAGACCCCTCTAACAAGAAATTTGTTTTGCATGCACACGTATAAAAATTGCGGTTTTTATCCAACGCAATCATAGGTTTGAACGTTGTTTTCAATTTAGACTTATTTATATTTTTTCGTTTGGGCTTGTTTTATATTTGACTTCGGGTTTATATGATCAGTTCATCCTACTTTGACTCCTCAAAATTCAAGAGTCTATCTTAAATTGAGGTACATTGTAGGGCTTTCAAAATATCGTTTCGATTCCTAACATCACTGAAGAGACATTAATTGTCGAAATCCGGATATGGTGTACAAAAACCTTTGCACCTTTTGTTTGCGGTATATTATCTTTTCCGCAAGTTTATTGTTTTCTGTTTAGTATTAAATTTATAATTAAGATCGATTTATTACATCGGTGATCCGTTTTTTTGGCAATCGACAATGGCAGTCAGCAAGGCTAAAGAACATTTGTTGTTCGACCTGTTAGTGAAATGCGTTTTGTTACAATATACTTTTTCACTTTTTTGGTCTTTTGGAAAATGTTGTTTGTGCTGTATTTAGACTCCTCTAACAAGAAATTTGTTTTGTATGCACACGTATTAAAATTGCGGTTTTTATCCAACGCAATCATAGGTTTGAACGTTGTTTTCAAGTTAGACTTGTTTATATGTACAAATATATATAAGCGACTTATATATCCTGTTTTGAATCACATCTGTTTCTGTATACAAGCGTTACACAATGAGCTCGTGCATCAAACGATGGAATTTAATCTTATATAAAATCAGTTATTTCGCACACGTTGATTCATTGTTTAACGAGTTTGAACGTATTGCTCTAAACAAAAACCAACCTCAACCAACCCAAAAATAAGTTTGTTTGCTGCTCTTATTCTTTATAAAATCAGGTTGAGTATGCAGACTTTATAGAAACAGTGATGGCTTTGAAGACTCAAAATTTTGATGCTAAGTATTAATAGTGTTGCTGTGTTCCACAATCAATGTTAATGGCGGAATTGATCTGCTTTAGGTGATTGGTGCCCAGTTACCACCTCTTTTCATTGATGTTTGTCCTGCACTGAATCAAGTTCAGAACATGATAATATTGAAATTGAATAATTTATTTTTTATTCTTTAAAATCTTTATTGCTGAAATAAAAATTAAGCCATGACAAGTTCGAAGTGATCAGACATTTATGGAATTGAATCGAGACATAGAAACTAAGTGTACAGTACGTCATAAGTATAACTTTCTTGTGTTTAACATTTAACGTACGGTTTCTGTTTTGTTTATTCGATATCATATACAATAATTTCGAATCAAACGTTGCTATGAATCTACAGAACGCATATGTAGCGTTTTACCTAACAGTTTAATCAACAGAGCACGCAGAAATGCATTATACTAGATCATTGTATGTGATTAAGAAACAACTTCCTTTTCGGAACAATTCTTAAATTGGTTTGTTTATTGTATAAAAGTATACAATATGCAAGGCCCTAATCGTCACGAATTTAAAACAAGTTGTGACTAGCTTGAATAGAGACAGATAAAGATATTATGCCACAAAAACCAAATTTCCTTAATTAAACAACTACTGACTTAGGTTATTGACTTGGAACAGACACATGAGCATGTGGCGACACTTGGGTTTAATTAGTTATTTCAGATTTCAACACACACCTTCAAATCTCGACCAGTGAAATGATCAAAGGTGTCTAAAAAAACAACAAACATTGGTAAATGAAAAGCACTTCACTCAATAATATCGGTATAAGTATAACACAACAAATTCAACCACTTAGATTCGAGAACCTATTAAAGCAAGCTCTATTATGATAAAACATAGCGCTCTTGAAGTTGTTTCTTTATTAAAACTAGCAAGAAATTTACATAAAGAAACTTTTCGTGAATGAGAACCATATTTTGGACCTTTTTTACCCCAAATTTACTAGTTTGTTCATGAATTTGTATGACAATGTTATGGTAGATATGCAACATAGTATACCTCTTAAAGGTATTTAAAAACTATAGTGCTATTTCAATAACGTTATCTGTCAATATTAGATTTAAGACATTGTTTTAATATTGTCATATAAAAAGTTGATACATGTACGTTAAGGAAGATAAGTTTAAAAAATTAAACAAAAATTATCAAATATATCATATTTTTTTTTAATTGGTGGTATAACACCTATAATACACTGTAGATTACAAAACATAAGTATAACCAGAACAATAGTAGCTTATTATTATGTCTAAACTAGTGGACATTCAATTTAAAATACTGTACACCACAGGACGCCATAATTGGCGCTATATAATTAAGTATATCACTTATCTAAACCTGTACAGTCATTCATATAAACATATTTGTTCCTCTTTTTATGTTGATGAAAAACAAACTAGTCTGAACATAATAAAAAAAATTATATTAATTAGTTCGATCCTTCAATACCATGTGATAGTACGCATATAAGTATGCGAATACTTTCCGTGGATACTTTCATTCCAGCGTGTTAGATAAAATTTACATCATGTGACATTTTCTTTTTTTAATAAAGGGTTTAAAGCTTTTAACAAATACCCCTCTGTTACTCCGTATCAACAACCTTCGATAACAGCAACCAGGAACTATCTCAGGTTTTTCTTATGCCCAACCTTTGGTTGGGATTAGTAAGATTCCCAGGC